TTTACAGAATCTTTTTAAACCAACTCGTCTTATCTTCAGAGAATATTTGAACGCAACATGTTGAATAAAGTGACTTTGATTCGCCCTTACATGTCAAATTTGACCTATTTTGACATTTGACAGCAGTAAAAACACCCTAAACGTGATTAGTTTAGCCTGAAATTTGGCGATTTTTCCTAAAGTGACCCAAAATGCACAAAAATGAAAATATTTTAAATGTTATACTTTTGTACAGGTGCTACAACTTTTTGTGTACGTCCATTAGGATGGACTTTAGATCTACCAGTGTGAGTCAAATCAAGGAAAATCTTGAAACTGTGGATCTGTACAGGCTGTGTTTTTTGTGTATTTTTTAGTTTTTTTTAATGTGTGTTTGGACATTCCAAATAGATGTGTAGTTTAAAATTTGGTATATACACTATGAGGGTATTCTGACAGGAATTCAAAGGCTCGACAATTTGAAGCTTAGATTTGGTTTTATTTTCCTGATAGAACTGCACCTCACAGCTAAGTGAGCAAAAAATCCAATGATTGTTTGTGTTTTTCCAGTTTCTGACTCTGATAAATTGCGTAATTTTGGCATTTTTTAAAAAGGCAACGTTCCTTTTTAACCCGCCGACAGGTTTTGGGGTTCTGAGGGTTCCGCTTACTTGTCAGTCGGCTCCGATTGATTCACTAATTTGAGATCCTGAACTATGAAGTCTGTTACTGGACTACTTGTAGAGCTCAGTTTGTCACAAAAGGAGAAGTTGCTCTACATGGAAACCAGAGTGAGAACCGTGCTGCTGCAGAGATAAACCTCCGTTATCTCCCGTCGCCGCCGCCGCTGCTGCAGAGGTGAGCGGCAGCCGGAACAAGATAAGTCTGGTGGGGAACGGGCCGGTTCTGTGTTCTTTTAATAAACACAGCGGTCCGGTGTGCAGGTAATAGACTGCAGACTGTGTTCTGTGAGGAGTGGATTATTCAAACTCCTCGACTTGATCTGCTGAATTATTCATTGGGCGGGATTAGGCCCACCGAGAGCCATCAGGAAGACGTATTAGACAACAGTGTTTTGCATACACATCTTTAATAAAACATGCCGGCGCCTCTGCATTTGTTCTCCAGAAGCATCTGTGCGGTAAATAAGGTGCTGGAGAGTATTCAGACGAACGCCGCTTCCCATTACGACCGTCCTAGTTGAAGTTTTGTCTCCAAAAAAAACGAAGCTTCCGGCTCTCCGAGCAGCTTCCCTCTGACATTTCTAAAAGCAGGAATCTCAGCGTGATCCTGCTGATCTCGTCTCTCTGCTTCCCTCAGGTCCTTGGTGGAGATTAACCTGCTGCATGGAGCCGAGGAAGGTCTTCCAGGAGGCACCTCGCCCTGGTCCTCGGTGCAGATGAAGTGCAGTTAAGCAGATTTGGAGGCGTGTGAGCTCAGGAAGACTTGAAGAGGAACTACGTGGAGGCTTTGATGTGAAGAAACGGATCAGAGCTGACTCAGAGCCGCCGGGAAACTCAGAGAAAAGACGGAATTCTGAAGTTGGTTCAGAGCAACAGAGTGAATTTTTTAACGGAGACGTGTGTCCGTGTAATTTACCTGCTTTATTCTTTTACTGAGGTTGTTTGTGACGAAATTAGTCGTTTGATTTCAAGACGTAAGACTCAACATCACCTTTGATTTAATGTCAGACAAACGGTTGAGCCCCAAAATACTCACTCATACCTCTTTTCCACCAAGAAGAACCAGGAGCTAGTTCATTGCTGGTGCCATTGTTTAGTTGGTTCCAATCTGGCACCTCCTAAGAACCTGTTTGCTTTTCCATCGGCAAGGAGCCAAGTTA